CAGTTATCATGCAAATGTTCTGAGCGCCATATGACATTGCAATCAAATGAAATGCTGCCCATAATGCATAGGATCGTTATTTGGGAGTCTGATGTTTCTCTGTCCTTCTTTTCATCTCTGGAAGGTAGCTGAGTGGCAGAGGCCTCTTTTGGTTAATTTGGATAGAAAAGTTAAGAGCTGTAGTTTGACTTTCTCTTATCCATAAAAGATACTACTGATGTTTTTTTCATCTCTGGTATCACAGGATCACAAGGAGAGGGCTTTGTGATCTATGTTTTATTTAAATACTTTTTTCCTGATAACTCAACATAATTTACATACAAACAGCCTATTAACATGCACAAAACTCAAAAAGCTATTCAAAATTTAAATTAATACCAAGATCCAAAAGTTCTATGAATATGATCAATTCTGTTGTTTTTAGCATAGAATCTCAGATATTCTGATGAGAACAACTTCAGCTCAAACCAAGCTCTACAATTACAGCTTTACACTGCCAAAAATGTACATACTGTATACTGTACTTGATATCCTTGTACTTGTGTAGGGGAGCTAATGTATAAACAGAACCCAAAGTGAAAAATGACATGAAAGTGTAGAGAGACTGCATATGCATCCCTTCATGATCAGATTCACCACATTTGGATTAAAAGTTAAATCATAGTTTTTTTTTGTCAATCAGATGGTAATTTAAAACAAAGAAGGACCTATTCAACCTACAGTATCTCTTACCCCTCAGCAACTGGTGTTGCAAATCCATGAGATACTGCATAATATTTTTATACACTTAATAAGGCCATAGTTAATAACTGTTCATATTCCCATAATCCATAGTGACAGCTTTCACTTATAAGACATCATAATTGTAAAAAATGTTCTTTGCAAAACATTCATAATGCACAGCTGTGTAGAAGACTTTCCAAATACTGTACTTTAGATTGTCTGAATAGCCTGTTCTCGTTTATTTCCATTATTACTGTATATTCTTAAACATCTTAGACATAATCAAGAGTTACAATATACAAGACAGCATGTACATGTATATCACAAGCATCATTTCAAAACATCCTCTTCCATATTGAACTAATATACTGTAACAACCATGTTGCAAACATAGTTTACACTGCACAAGAAGAAACCATAGTTATCATTTACTGTAGCAATCTTTAACTCAAGTGATCGTAAAACCATGATCACAACAATTCAAGGCAAGCTTTGACAGCTATGGAAAGGTGCATATTTTGACTGAAAGGAGGACACAAACAAGAAGCAAAACTGGTTCTAAAATAAAAGTGTATATGCTGCCATTATAAGAGCAAACGCAACAACGGGCTGGAAACAGAACAAGACGGGTGTGCTTTCATTGGACCTGATACATACAGTACATGTATGAGGCTGGCTCCCAAAAGACAAAGCACAATCAAAGAAGGTGACCTTCTTTTAGATGACAAGATAAATACATTTGCAAGACCATCTAGAAAAGGATAACTAATGACAGATATCTATCACCTTGGTGATACAAACTGTAGATGATGGCTATTTTTATGTAGATACACAGTGGTTTGTGCATGAATATAAAGTGGCTCTTACAGTATATGACAATGCTGGCATAACTGAACTGTCATATGACTTTCTAATTCTCCCATTAAGAGCTAATTAATATTCATACCCATAAATTACTGTTAAATAGTAACCATAACTTTGTAGTCTGCTCCTTGTAAGATACAGTATACTGTATATACACTTGTATATAGAATATACATACTGTATAAGGTGTAAGGTATACCGTACATATAACAACTGCAGATTCTTGCCATAATGTCATGGAACAATTTGGTTTTAGCTTTAGGATTGCAGCTGTATTCATTAAACTGTACTGCAGGGAAATTGATTTTTCCTAAATCAATGTTGTGGCAGCTAAACGTGGCATTTCACCTATTTCTTGCACAGGGAACAATCACGTACACAGCATTTCAGTTATAACTGAGCAAATTCAAACACACTCCAACAGCTGCGCCACAGATGTTTTGCAAAAATAAAACAACAGTGAACTATCTGCTCGAGCACACTCTGGTGTGCAAGAAAGTTTCTGAGGCACTGCGGAGGTTTTTAATTTACCCCTCAGACTGCTCCCTCCAGCGAACCGCAATCCAGATTCTTTGTTTATCATGCAAATCACACTTCACGTTGACTCCATGCTGTTACATAACATCTCTCTCAAATATCAGGCTTGGAAGTAAAACAAAGCCACTAGCTTAGGAAGGAAAAAAAGATGAAGAATTTGCATCTTAAAAAATGGCTGAAGGCAAGCATGATATAAACAGTAGCTGAAACTATTAGGTGTCCTTCAAGGCTACATGCAAATCTCAGAGCTCCAACTGTTGAGATATATTTTGAAATAAAAAAAAGAAACATGCCTGATCCTAACATGGTGAACCCCAAATCATATGCTTTATTGTCCCATAACCAAGGCTAAATTGATATCTGATATTACTTGGGGTATTTATAGCATTGACAGTGTTTGTTTTTAAAGATGTCTTAAGGGATTCAGTTACTGTACATTTCCATTAAAAGACTACATTCTAAAACACTAGTCTATGTCTACCCCAATCTATATCTTTAATCAATGCCCAAATTAATTAAGAAATACATCATTGCCTATAGTAACTCCATGCTAATACTGATCAAAGAACAACAGTCACAGCTCAAGTGCGTACATGAACCATGAAGTCAAAGTGTAGCAGCAGAAGATAAGCAAAGAAGTTAACTGGCCATGTGCTTCTCGGTCACCCAGTGGTTTATTCATTTTCATTGGAAATGCAAAGTCTCACATCCCCAGAAGGGTCAAGGAGATTACATTCTTTTCACATGATACAGATTATGAACATTTAGCATAGGTCAGAAATTAATCATTAATACATTCGGTTTAGTCCTGCAGCCTTTCAATTTCTATTTTAACAACCTCATGTTTTACTCATCATCTGAACACCTCCCTTCTCCCTGTCTAATGCCTCTTGCTCATCTCTTCTCTGATTTCTTTTTTCTCTTTGCTGTGTCACCAGCTTTGTTTTGCACTTTCATTCTGTATTGGGCTTTTATTTAAACAAATAAACATTTTAAAAAATATCATTTATTGTGTTGGGGGGAAATAAAAAAAGTCCTTAAAATAATTTAATTTTCTTCTGTCATTTCTTGAAGGATGCTAGCCAAGTAGACTGCTCATGATGCCAACAACTCTCTGTCTCACAAAGAAAAGAAGTGCCTCCTGTTTTCAAACTAAAAGGCACTATGCTCTCCTTGTATCTTATATCTTATTGCTCTCTGTTTCCTTTCTGGTTTAGTCTAACCATTTAAAGTGGATTAAATTAATATATTTCAGGGTTTTGATTACTTTGATGAAATCCACTCATCCTTACTCTTATTTTAAGTATTTCCAGTATCCCTAAATAGGACAAGCACCATGTCAAAATGTGCTGACTCGAACAACATATTATTCTAAATGAGGTTTACCGGTGGACTGCATTATTGTAACATTGTTCCTCTTTTTACATGTATCTACAGTATATCTCATACTGTATAACACAGAAAAGTCTAGTCTAAGTCTTCATCCCCCAGTGCCTGTAAATCTGGTTTATAATATTTCTTTAGAAGAAAGGGATTCTGTTGCCATGTATGGTATTTGAAATAAGACAGTTTTGGCTCTTAAACCTATTTCTTTCCCTTTACAAGAAATTCAAATCAACCGAGCTTGTTAAGAGAACATAGCTCTCCATTAACTTCTATCGTTCTTTGTTTCTGCAATTGCTGTCGCTACAACAGTTTTTTACATTTGGCCCAATACTGAGCAAGGACAGCATTTGTTTTATTTTCTGCAGGACACAACAACAAATGAGAAAGATGTACTGGATTACAACTAGGAGCTCAGTTTATTGTGACACATGAGGTTTGCTTAAAAGCCTTTTTAAAGTAGAAAACACTTTCTTTACAAGTAGTTATACAGTACCTCACTTACCACAACACGATAAACAGAAATTATTTTCTGTAAGCCAATACTATTTTAAATATATACGACTCATTTACATGGATTAATAAGGCAATTGTGTGGTGCACCAATTACATTTGGATTATTGTCATATCAGAATGATTAAACCAACTACTGTTTTGCAGATCCATAAACCCAAGCTTACACTCTTCACAAATGCTTTCTACAAGGACACTATCATTCCTTTGGACTTAAATTAAAGACGTATTATAAAATCATTAAATACAGAATTACAATTACCTGCTGCGTGGCTTGAACGTGATTTCTAGTTGCTGCTACCCTTGTGGTTTTTCATAAGAGACAAATAAACCATTTTCTAAAAAGAAATTAACTGACGTTCTGCCTGTCATCCTGCTAATACACTTATCTGTTCAGCAGAATGAATATCCACATTTTATGTGGATAATATCCATATTTAATATTTATATTTTTATATTTTAATATCCATATTTTGACAGTAAGAAATGTTTAACTGTTTAAAATTTACCATTTTATAATGCTCTTAGTATTAATGTTTTAGTAGCATATTTATTTGTTAATTCAGTTCAGGACAAATTACTTAAATATTTCAATGGAAAAAGATCATTGAATTGGAAAAAAATGATAGAGAACAGTTACTGTAACTGACATACTATACTATATATATATGATATGTCTTATCATAAATACATTTCTATTTACAGGCTGCATGAAGGACAACATACTTCTACCTGCAAAGACTTAAAAGGTTACTTAAAAAAATCAGTCACGCAATTCTGAACAACTTCTCAAGTCAGGTGTTGAGTGAAAGAGGAAAACACATTTTAGTTGACATTATTAAAGAGAGAATTTGCAGAATTCTAGAGAAAGTACTTAAAATGGTCCTTGGAAGCCATGTAATTTTAACAGATTCTACGTTTGCATGATAAAGAGAAGCAATTTTTGTAGCCAAATCAAATCACAGATCTGGACTGCTTACCGTCCATCCTCCTCCATCTGTTGTCATGTCGCAGAAAACCTGGAAGCCCGCAGGGTAATGAGTGGGGAACACTGAGTAGATGCCATCTTCCCTCTGTCCACTCATGTAAATGTCACTGCAGTCTCTTGGACGGGAGCCTGGGGACAGACGCGTGCACAAGGGCATCTAATTAAAGAGGGCTTGTTAATTGCCAAGGCTGTTAATTGTGTCCGACGGGGATGAGCCAGGGAAACGCACTATTTTGAAAATAGCATTAAATTTAAAAGAGTCAGAGCCAAAGCAGGGCTTGCTCGACTGGCCAGACTTGTCATTGGGTGTCAGCTGTGTGTTGAGGCTCGGCTTGTCTCCTCTCTTGATTAAGATGAATTCCAGCTCGCCAGCCTTTAACTAGACTGTAAGGGGATTGCCTGAGTAAAGCCGAGGGGGCAAATCTTGAAGTTAAGAAAGAAGTAGAATATAAAAGATAACAGGCCTTGGAGAGAGGTATATTATGTACAGTACACTCAGGGATAGACATGTAGGCAGTCTTAAGATGTTGGTGGGCCAGCAGGTAATTTATGTCTGCAGAGGTCAAAAGATCATAGTCAGAATACTAAATGAGTGATGTACTGTATTCTGGCGCAGTGAATATGTAAAAGTCCAGAACAGCACAAAAAGGACACTTTCCTGAGGCATCTATTAAGTTTACAGGATTTACTTTGCTGAAGTTCTACTGAGTGACTATGTGCTACCAGAAAATTTACTGTATACTACACATGAGTGAAATAATCGGCAAGGAAATCAAAATGCAATTCTTCTGCCAAGCAAGAGGAGTGATTAATGCCTGACTGTGCTATTGAAATTGGAGAAAGAAATGTTGTTTCTCCTTACTGCTGCACAGGCAGAAGCTCCATTATATAAGATTTAAAAAATTCAGATGCCATCTCAAATTGGAAATATAAGGTAGTTAGGTACAGAAACAGGCCATCATGTCAATCTCTGTATATTTAAACTGTGGATACTGGCAGAAACCTCAAAGCATGGTGCATGATCAAAAAACATGCAGGAATTCATCAGAAATTTTTAATAAAACATTCCTCTCTCTGAACTAGGTAAGCTTTGAATTGCCCATAAAGCTAAAAAGACAGATAACATAAGGGAACACCATTTCTGGTTCCATTGTGTTCTTGTAGATGGAGCTCATGAGTATGTTTGGACTGGACCATGTAAAAACATCACTGGACCATTTGACATAACAATAATAAAACTGATTTGGGGCTTCTGTAAAAGGAAATATGTATCGTAGCTCTCTAACTGTGTTTAGCCTGACCTGTTTCAGAGCATAGTGCACTTGTGTGCAGTGGCTCAAAGAGCATAATCATGGGCACCTGCTTTTCCATAAAGAACTGTCTCTTACCGTTGGCACAACCTCTAGGCCGGGTTCCTCTGGTAGGCGCTCTCTGGAGGTCCGCTTTGAGGCGGGTCTTAATACCGCCCTGTTCTTTCTGCATGGAGTTCAGCGCATCACTCACTGAGTTCACCACCTTTACCATGTTGATTTGACTTTCTGACAGCAGCTGCAAAAAGATGAAAAACTAAACATTAAAGTTCTATCCTTTTTTGGGGTTTCATAAGTGTGCTTTAATTTGTAAACAGTGGTCTTGGTCAGAGCTACACAATTTTGGATCTTGAGCGCTATAATCCAGCAAGATTTATGCTGTAGGTCATTTTAACAATCAACCACTTAACAGCTGAAAAAGTGTTAAAACTGGTCCGTGTTAAGTGAATGAGAAGTTCAATTAAGAAGTTTTAGAGCTCAGATGGAAGGAAAATCACAGTGGATTTCTAGTGCTGGAGTGCTTTACACTTGTGACAGGGCTCATTATGTTTAATAAGTGTTGCTATGGCGTTATTACTGAAAAAAGAGGCCTCGGTAGGCACACAATTTCCCTTATTTGACTTTCTTAACCTGCAACAATGTCCGAAGCATAAATACTGCTTTTCATCATGATTGAACTAGTGAACTGAAATATGAATATGTTGTAAAAACAATGAAATGAAGAAATTACTTTTCATTTTGTTATGAGGCAGATTAATTTATTGACTGCAGGTATCTTTTTAAATTCTGTGTTAAATTCTTTGTATCTTGGATGCTACACAATATAGATCTTGCAAACTGCACATTAACATGTTTTGACACTGAGCAAATTCATAATGTAGAAATGCTGCGATGACACTTTTCTCCTTAATCCTAAAAATGTTCAAGGGGACAGCCTTTACGAGTGCCTGAAACTTGTTTTGGCTTTACAGTTTACAGTACGATTTAAGAGATGTGTCACTCAATTCAAATGTCAGGTCTGGCCACATTCTGATACTGTATTGCCATAAACAAGTTCAAACAGACTGAGGACAGGCAGTCATTGAGGTTGATGCAGGAGGGAGAGAGTGTTAAGATGGACCACTACATATATTCTTGATGTTTTGTTCTAAGTGGTGTTCACAGGATCTGTAACCAGCCCTACCCAGATGTTTTCTGGACATAATGCTGTTGTACAGTAGTAGTCAGGATCTAGTGTATGGAGTAGTTGGATTCTATTACATAAAAGTCGATAAATTAACAGTATATAATGGCTCTTGCTCTGTGATTTTAATTAGGTTAACATGACAGGGTAAAGGCAGTAAGCAAAAGTAGTTCCGTTTTAATATTCCGCTTGTGTTGGATCAGGTTTAAATACAGCTAGTTTTACTTTGATTGAGGCAAGTTTGATATTGATATTGTCATTTTACACTTGAGAAGACGTTTACCAATCAATCCTTTAATTCCTAGTCTGTAACATTTTTCTCCAACATGTTTAATAGTATTCAGAAATGTCCTATGTGCTGTACAAACGAGCCTGACCGACAGTGAAGACATTTGAGGACCATACCCTATCTACAAAAGTTAACCAAGGTTTTATTTGAAGTCACACTGCCGATGTGTAATTCTTATCCTGCAGCAGTCACATCTCATATGGAAACTGCTGACAATCATTACAAGTTATTTGTAAATAAAATGGCATTTCATTTTGCTGGTGTTGGCATAGGTAATAATATAACTTAGATTATAAGAATATAATGTCAAAATAGAAATACAAGCTTTGTTGCTCTTGGGCACAGTAGCCAGCGATGAAAAGGCTATGGGACAGACCTGGAAAGGCAGAGCAGTCAGTGTTTGTGAAGGATCAGCTAGCCCCCAGCAACGTGTGAGGCAAAAAGCCATCTCTGGCAACCCTGAAGCTAAAGTGTTTCTCTTACCTTCCACCTGCTCAAAGGATAGTATTGAATTAATAAGACAAAAGCCATGAAGGTTTTCTCCTGATAATGTGTTGCAACTTTTTTTCTGCCTTTCACAGTAGAATTGCAATGTCAGTTCACACCAATGAACTGTGGCAATCACAGTGAAATGACAGAAACCACTGTTTCTGGAAGTTTAAAGTACTGCAGCGCCTTGGGGTGACGAAGATTGCAGCAGACATCCCTGCACTTCCTGAGCTGAAGGAAGAGGCAGTTGCACCTGCAGACACTTTTTAGTTTCATACTGGAACAATCTCAAGGAATCCTGGTAGTGGGAGAAGACTGCCCTGTCAAGCAGTGCTACAGCAGAATGTCAGAAACATGTACAGCATATCATCTGCCTTTGTGCCCATGAATTTTGTCACATGCTATTAAATCTATTTCTCTTTCCTTTCTCAACTTAAATTAGCTATTTTTATTACATTGCCCTCTTTCAGGAAACAGTGAATAAAGCCACATTGATCCTTATATAGTTGTGAGCTCACAGGCAAACACTAATTTCATGAAAGCATTTCAGCTGGTGTTCAGTATAAAAATCACCAGGAAATTACAGAAAACTGTGATGTAAATGGTCTCACCTGCAGCTATGACATTCCCAGTGCTAATGCTTTTGTCCTGGTGTTTGATTTGAGGATTGTGCGAAGAGAGAACAGTTTCTAAATAATTGTTGCAGGAATGTTACTGTATATCTGCTCAAGAATGTCAATGATTTAGGATGCTTTGTCTGTTGTTTTGCAAAGGTTTTTTTGCCTCTTATAAATGTTGATGCTGCCGTACTCATTCATCAAAGTGCATCTCACATTTACTGCTGTAATAAACATTGCAATGTTTATAATCAATTACATTCCTTTTACCATCAGTCTGGAACATTAATAGTTTTATTCTGGCTTTTAAAATATATGCTAGGAATTTGCCCTAGAACAAGAAAAAAATGATTAATGTGTTCTGGGAAAGGCTACTAAGATGAAAAATGTGTATATTTTTGTTGACCGTAAATAAAGAGAGATTCAAATTAATTTCATTCTAATTATTCAGACAATCAAAAGTAAGCTTAGATAGCTTCTCAGAAAGTACTGTTAAAGCACTTAAAAGTAAAAAATCTACTTTTAATATTTGAGAACTTGCATGGCACTACAGTACATTACCAGTTTATACAAAATATCCTTTTTTAGGACTGCTGAGGAGTTCAGATTGCAGTCAGCAGTGGCCAGGTCATTTATGGGAAAAGAAACATCAGTGATGTTCATTTTTCAAATAACTTCGGAAAGTAAAGCTTGGTTAAGCAACAGGTTTTTATAGTGGATTTGTTCACCTAGTTGAATGCAATGGTACAATCGGAGGCACAGTGTAATTAACTCTTTTTAATAAGGCCATTCTCATGCTAATGTTTGCTGTGGTGTTTCTTGTGTTGCTTTATTTCACAGAATGTAATGGTCTGAGAACAGAGAAAGAACAAGCAAGATGTGATGTAGTTACTGTATATAACACTACACAACTTAATAAGACTTTGTAACCACAAATGGGACACAGGATCAAAAATCCAGAGGACAACATGAAGAAAAAATCTCATCATTTGCAGCTCCCTGTGAGATTTCAATAGCTACATTTGTGCATGTGACTGTACATATATTTACAGTAAGTACTAAAGTACTGTAGCTGTAGCGTATGTGTACCCTGATCTTATGTGTGTGCCTTTTTTATAAAGCAGGAATAGGTGAGTCTCCTCTAACCGCACTTTGAAGGGGATACTGTTTTTAATCATTGCATTTGCTTTTGTTCCTTGTGTTCTTTCATCTGACGAATTTACCAGAGGTCTGCAATAGACAGCATGTAGTTTTGCACTACGTCCTGGGTTGCTCCTGTTAACTCCATCTACTAGTCAACTTTGCTCCTTCACATATTTAAGCAGCAAAAGTAAGAACAACAGAGGGCAAAATTTAAACCCATTAGCTGACTATTGGATAGCACAGTACCTGACAGAAATGCGACCAAATATTGTTTTATTTTTATTTGACTTGACAGCTATGCTAAATACCTAGCATTCAATGAAAATACAATAATCTTCTGTGAATTGAAATTTCTATACATTGTGGCAATATTAATACCTGGGGAACACTGCAATGAAAATAAGTTTTCTGGTGCTTGTCACTCTGCAATGACAGTGCCTGGACAGCAGAGGAAATGTAAAATTGCTGGTATTTAGTGGCTGCATCATGTCACTGGAAATAAGAAGTGCACGATTTTGGAAAGAGTTATTTTTAGATCACATACATTTTATTTGTTGGCAGCCATCCATCTTGAAAAACTAAATTCATATTTACAGCATCATCTCACCTGTACTATGTATTAACTCACTATGTCTTCTATTCCTTTCCTCAGTGCATGTACTACAGAGGTTATCATTTTTTGGAGCAGTGTATCTCAAGTATGAGTACGTTCTTTCCTCTCAAACCAGAAAGAAGCTTGTCGGGCTGTTTCTAAGTGCCTTATGTGCTAGCCGAGCAATATATCATCCCCTTTCTCTACTGGGACCTGTAAAGAGAAGCTGTCCCGTAAAAGAAATAACAGTGACTGCAACAACCTGCACATACACTACTGTATATTCCTATTCTTTTTATAACTTCATTAATCAAGAGGTTCCTGTTATTCCTCACTGGTAGATATGTTTTTGAGGTTGTGAATTGTACAGGCTCTGTTTGGCTTTTTTGTTCTCCTGTCTACAGATTTCTCACATGCTGAGAAACATGTGCTTATGTGGTCTTTCTGAGTACATTAGGAGGGGTATCTTCTACTTTATAAGGATCTCAACCCACACATGTGATTTTCACTTAATATTTTGTACCCATTGCTTTGCCAAAAGAGGGTTAAGATAGTATTTGTAATACAAATGCAGGAATGCCATCTTATCTTGCCTATGGAAGATGCCACAGCTGACAATGCTATGGGGTCCTGCGAATCTGCTCTGTTTGGTGAGTCAAGGATTGGGCAACACATGTCCCAGAACATGACCACAGCACACATTACATGTGCACAATTATTATGGTGAATTACAAATCTTGCCTTGCCTGTGTGGTCCTCCTCTGGAACCAGAAACTAACTTGCCCAACATGTCACATAGTTGTAACTAAAATTGGAACCTAAAAGCCTTTACCAGAAAGATATCAGGAAACACGTGAACCCTCGGAAGGCATGATTTATGACACAGCTATATACTGTATATAGTGAAGGAATCCAAAAAATTATATCAGGTCAGTTACTTGTATCACTACATTTATGAATGGTCTTTATTTTTTCGAACACACAAGTAGCATATATCTAATATGCTGTACAAATTTTCCAATTGGTAAAACGGTTTTAGTCAGTCATTCCCTTCTGAACAAGAGATGTGATGAAAACCAAACACCAAATACTGACAATAGTTGCAAATTCGCAGTCTACCTACATAGACAGAGGGGGGCGGCAAGATAGAAATGCCTGAGTTGAAGCTGTCTCCAAAGTTTCAGCCCAGGAAAAGGAGTCTGGTGATTGTAATGGCAATTAACTTGTTTTGCTCTCCCTTCTTTCTGAGGAATAGGAGACCCTGCTGAGAGTGTGCAATGTGACAGCCAATTGTGTACAGCGAACTGTGAGATGTTATCTTCTTGAGAACAAGAAAACAGAAGATTAAATATTTTGTAAGCAGACAAAACAGAAGATAGGTTTTTAATCTCTAGTGTAACTAAAGCCTAACTTTTTGCCAGAGATTCTCTGTGAAGTACTGCATACAAGTTTGACTAGAAATAAAAGTACTCTAAAATTAAATACTGTAGAGATCAGTAAAGTGCACTGATTTCAACAAATAGGCATGCTGTTTCTCAGCGTATTTTAACCATGCATTTAGTTCCCAGAGCACACTTCAGATAATTGCTGTAGTGAAATGTTAAAAAGGAATGGTAGCAGAAATACTGCAAATCAATTTATTAAACCATTTGAGGGCTGCACATTACTATATAAGTGACCTTTTGAGTTATTAGCATTTAAATAAAAATGCTAAATCATATACTGTATATATGTTGTTATAATTTAGAATACAAAGTTTGATTCAGAGAAAATCCTTATTTCCAACAGAACAATATCATTGTACTAAAAAATCTACCTGGACTTAATACCGAATTAAATTAATATTGTGGAATTCTTAACATTTTTTTCTGGTACTGAATCATGGGCTGTTCGACCCCTGTTTTTTCAGCAAAATATGTGATATGAAAACATTAATACTTATTGCAGTTGACATTGTTTTTATCCATTTCATTTTGTGTTATAAAAACAATGAATATGACCCTGATCTTTAAACATTTATTGTCTCAAATCGGACTTCCCTTATTGTTTTTTTAAATCAAGTCAAACAGAAATTCTTTAAAAATTAAAAATAACTTTATTTGTGTCCCTTTTTTCTTCAACTAGCTGTAAATTTTAACACTGATTTTGACCAGGTGCCATTTTACCTCTGTTGTGTAACAAACCTTCAGGTAATGAACTGGCTGAGATTTGTCAGATCCTGTATGTCAGGAAGCAGTTGCAACAATACTGAGTGGCTTATCATCAAGAAACACGGTAGTGGAGAACAAAATGTTCTTGTTTAGTTTTGAAAGCAATATTGTCTTTTTTTTCCTCTTTTGTTTATTGCATTCTAACCTCAAGGGCCCAAGCCATCTACCAGTCTGGGATCTCAGACCACCAAACACCACACCATCCAAGAGGAGGATCCCCACTTTGAGAGATGTACCTGAATCAGTCTCCCTTGCTCTGTCTGCAAAGTGTTCAGCTCCTGCCCCAGGCTGCCCTGCCCTCTTCGCAGGGCCTCGTAATCCATTTTAAGTTGCCCTGCGTGTGCCGACAGCTTGGCCATCTCCTCCGCCAGGTTCACCAGTAGGGCCCGGTCCTGACCCTTCACCGTCTTCAGATCCGAATCGTGATCCGTGAGGGAGTGCAGCAAGGACGTCTGCACCCCTTCCAGCCGCAGGAAGTTGCTGTTGTAGTCTGGGCAGTTGGGGTCAATAAAGATGTTTATCCGGGAGCCATCTCCTTTCTCCACGGTCACCAAGGCATTACCCTCCTCCTGGTTGGTACTGATGAGAGGTGGGCCGTCCGTCACCGGCGCATGGTAGTGGTTCATAAACAAGATGGTCCCCGTCACCGTGACAGCAAGGAGCACGGCCACGAAGAGCAGGATGGTGCAGAGAAGATAGCCACAGCTCATTCTCTGGAAAAGGAGCAGAGAGGTACAGTAAGATATAAATCACTCTAAAGATATCCCACTCAACAAATTTGTCATTATCAGAACAAGATAAAACAAAGTAAAGTCTGTACCACAGGGGCTCATCAGGCCAAAGTACAGCCTGTTCATCCAGAGCCGGCCATGGGCGCAGGTGAACTAGGCGACTGCCTAGTGCTCTGAAGCCACCAGGGCCCCCCCCATGTGCAACACAGCATAAATACAATCGGCATTTTCTAATGTGAGCGCCAAACTCCCTACAGCCAATTCTGTTGCTGCTGTGGATGAGCCTAATAGAAACCCAGTCAGAAAATGACCAACCATAATCAAGAATGTAATATGTTGCTGAAAAGAAGAGCGGACTAAGTGACCTCAAACCAGAGGAATGTTGAATTAAGTCACTGTAATAAAGCCTTTGTATTTCATTTGGTTTCAGGTCTGTCAGATCAATGTGCTGTAACTAACGAACAACAGACAAGCCACATTTTCAAGCTAGACACTTAGACCTCTTGAGGTGCTGTACTAAAAGTTAGCAGATTCACGTTTTCCACAATTGTCCACATGCTGTGTGGGTTGCCTGGCTAAAACTCGTTCTGGTCTCCACTTGCACAGTGTGGTGGACTGCAGTACTGGGGTGAGGCACCACAGCATGTGGACTGCAGATGACCTTTCCCACTACACTGCGCTGCTGCCCTCAAATAAAAAATAGTTCAACTTCAAAATAAGGCTTAAATGCAAAGAAATTAGTAACTTCAATAGTTCACATGTGCATTGTCCCCTTTTTTTCCACTTTTACTCTAGTGAGCAACTTGGTTCAAAAAGTTCTCATTCTCTAGATGTTTCTTTTAAAAATTATTCTGCATGTGGAATTACACAGGAGGGTATAAGACACCGGAGATGGTTATTACTCTCATTATACTGTCTAGTTTTACAAAAAGTGCATTAAAAAAGACAAACAAATATTTTACTTTTTTGTTCAGGTGAAAAGTCAAATGGAGCAACCAATCATCCCTGCAGGGTGTTAAATCTAAAGGGCCCACATTGGCATTTTGTGCAATCAAATATCAAAAAGCAGATTGAAGCATTAAAAAATACTGATAAATGCAATGTGATTATAGGCCATTAATGTGAGCATGATGCCATTTTGTTATTTTTAGCCATACTTTGGGCTTTAATTTATGGTATGGTATCCACTATTCGTTTTTAAAGCTCCTTCGGTTAATATTCTTACATGTGCAATGGGGTGTGTGAGTGTGTATTTGTGTAGTATGCATTAATTAATATGCAAATCAGTACATCAGCAATTTTTACAACTTTAATGGGCCACTAATGGCCTAGTTTGTGTGCTTTTATTACTGCTTTGGGGGAGAGAGTAGGCTTCACTTTAAAATACTATTAAAATACTTTAGCTTCTGGCTACATCATTTATTCCATTCCCTTAACTATTTACTGTAGCAACACAAGCCCTGATATTCACAGCACAGCCTGCAGGAAAAGAAGTTATACACTTTCAGTGTTTTTCTTCACATTTATTTTGTCTTTCATTTGTTTCACTTTTTATATATATTGCTTCCCAGTTAAAAAGTGAAAGCAATGTGTTACACTGAAAAGAAAAAGAATTACGAATGCAGAGGAAAAAATATATTTAAAAATATTGAAATGAAAAATTACAAGAACACTCAGTACATGCATCTCTTTCCAGATTCATAAATCAGAATAATAAATCATCAATTATTTCTTTTTTTTACACCCCCACACACGTGAATCATCAGAATCAAGCAAGTTGCCACACTGCTGCACCATTCACACAAGAACATGATAAGATGTTGAGACATTGGACACAATGAAAACAGAATCTGCAAAGTGAGGCCAAGTGCTTCTTTTCACTCTTGTTCACAGCCCACAAAAACAGTAGAGGGAAGGCTTGGGACAACAGCATTGCTTCCTCACAGTGGCCTGACGAACCTGAGAGGATGCTGTAGCACTGAAAGCAGAGGATAATCTGAACTTGAACCTACAAACTGTAGCAATACCAGTGCAGTGGATCATGGGAAATCCTGGTCGTAGTCAATTAATGACCACTCAGATTCCTATCCGTAATCTGAAGGTCTTCAGAGGTTTAGCACTGATGCATGTTTAGAAGATATAATTCCCAAATATAACAATTATTACAGAAGTGTAAAGAAAGAGTAACTGTATCAAAAGTGGCTCTTCTTCATCATTCACAGAAAAGTGGAAAAGTTCATGAACACATGCTCGCTTCATGGAAATTAATTACAAAACAACAGGAAATCACAGTAGACTGCACATTTAGATACAGTATCAGCTCTACCAATCAAAATAAAATATCAATTGTAAAGCTATCAGGTAACAAAACCCGACTGTCTGAACTGGAATGCTAACAGCACTGAGAAAAAGATAAATCACTAGAGCTACAGATGTTTGGCAGGGGAGCTCTTTCATTGTTTCCCGTGCGAGGTCCTTCATTTCCTCTTATTTGCCGCTGGTTAATATTCTGTCTAGGTTGTGAGGAAAAAAAACACGCTCAAATATTATTCTGTTTCAGATTTTTATACATTAAGACTTTTTCAGTACTTCCAGTTCTTTCCCACAAATATCACCAGATAGACCTTTAAAAAAATAACATTTCTGCATCTAAAGCGTCAGTGACATAACATTTTAATTCCAATTTGGAGACCACTGCCAGAGGGTAAATCACAGCGGCATTATGTAGTGGATGTTCATGAATACCTCACATCCTAAATATTCATGAATGCCGAATATAGAATATAACTAGTCTTCCACACTGCAGTCTTCTGCCACAAACGCGATAACTCCAAAACTGATATGAAATTTGTTTTTTTTAGTCCAAACAATATATACTGTATATATAAACAATATACTGAGTGAAAGGTGGGTTTAGTCATTTCAATAAATACAAGCAAAAGAACATTTAAGGATACAACCTGCAAGACACTGTAGATAAGAAACTTAAGTGATTAAAATAGAGACAGTGCATACAACCATATGAGACCATTTTGCAGTCTTCTTCATGTTTAACACATTAAACAATTGCAATTCAATCAACACCGTCTACATGAGTTCTCTTCCACTGCCCGACTAACCCCCGTTTCAATTTCGATCACACACATAACAGCATACGATCGCAGTAAGGTGGACACTTCGCACGGTATTAAACCCAACCGGAACATAGAGTATAGTGTTCTGAATGTGGAATTTGTAAAGGAATTGAAAATGCACATTATATAGCATATATTTTTTATGCGTTTTTGGAACAGCACGTACAGCAGCTTGTGATTTTCATTCTTTTCTATCACATTTTCTTCGATATCTTCACGTTTCAACAGTCTGAGCGCCCAAAAAAAAAAAAAACGTTTTGTCACCCTATCCACTCCTAGTACAGACACCAGACCCTCTAGGTAAATTCAGGCATGAACACAGAGAAAAAAAAATGTATCCCTGTTGTATTCTTACTGTTTATTCAGTGACATTCGTTTGCAAGTGCCATTGTTAATTAAGTTTGCGAGGAAATTATTCAGAGGCTTTACGTCTGAGGGATCACACGCATACGAAAAAAAAAACTATCTCAAAGCAAAAATTCAAAAAAGCAGAAAAAATCAAAGCCAGTGTTTTAATGAGTTTCACTGTTTCACTGCATGGTGCCACATTGTAATTAGCAATGTTAATTCTTTTTTCAGATTCTGGGTGAGGCTGTTCTTTAAGGACAGGGAGAATGCGGCACTGTACACGGCTCATTAGCGCTGTCCTGTCTAACAGCATCTGACCTGTTTCATATTGTATGTGTCATCAGGTGCCACAGCATAAAATTAAGGCAGCAATATGGCCAGTAAGTCAAGTTCTCTTCTTTGTGCCCTACAGCCCCTTAATCAAGCCAAGACATATTTATCACAAGATAATTAATGTGCAGAAAGATTCCAGCCTTCTAGTTAATGTGCTGAAAGAGAAAGTGGTCCCCAATCTATTTGTTACAGTAAAGAAACAAAACCTCCTGCATGTTGAAATTATCATTTTTTGCCTCTTTCTCTCTCTGAATTGTCCTGGAAGAAACACTGTAGCAATCATGCTGAAAAGCACATCCAAATTTATTCTTGCCAAAATCTAGCTAGCCCAGAGCATTGTGAAATGAAATGAGCAGAAATGCAGTAATGGATGGGGTGGCATTTCGTTCTGTCTGCTCCCCTTGTCCTGAGATCTATTGAGATATCAAACCGCAATCCCTGATAACTCCAACCAAGAAGCCCATTTTAAACCTCAGTAAATGGTATAGAAGAAATCAGAAGAGGACTGAATTGTAATCAGTCAGGATCTCTCTGTGACAGGAGTGTAGATCTTTTTGGCATCTTTAACACCTTTATTTCATTCTACTGCTGCTTGATTCCAATTATGTGCATGAATGAGTAGAGACAACATTTAAAAACAGCTGTAACACATTCTGGGTGCCAGAGTAAGATGCTAAAAGGGGCATACTAAGTGGCAAATGTCTTTTCTACCTTTTATTCAATCTCCAGAAATGAAGCTATATTGAATTTGGTCAGGGCAAGTCCAAAGATTAACATGTGTCATATAAAATGTTATTAGCTTGAAGAAGATCAGCACCCCATTACTGAGTGAAAACACAGCTCAAGCACTTTGATTTTTTAAGAACTGCCAACTGATGTTGAACTGAAACAAAATTGTGGCCTGAATCTCCTATCAAAACTGTTTATCATTACATTTTCGTTCACTGTCTTACAGGTAAGATTAGGTGTAAAAATAAATATATTTACTGCCATGTGTAGTCTTGCTGAAATGTTTGTCCTGTTTATGCACATATTTATGGATTTATTCAGGATCATTGCACTTCAAACTTTGATCTATACCCATATTAATTCCACAGATCAGGGATACAGCAATGACAGGATGACATACAAGTGAAATCTATATGCTAATTTCAAAGGCTTTATAGATCTATCCATTGTCTAGACAAAGCTTGGTAACCAGCACTCCCACAGTTTAATCTGTTATAGGCCATTAACCAATACAGATAACCCTTGTCACGACTTAGTGTTTGTCAATAGACTAAACATGCATGACTATGACTGGTCTGTGGAAAATTATTTCACCCTCCAGAGTTCAAACATGGAAATCCAAGTACTCTACTAAGCCTAGATACAACTGTGATCAAATGTATTAGATAATGCAAACTGAATCTGTTTAATGATTGTGTAACAGCTGGCTACTGTGTGCACAGAGTTAAACAAGAATACATCAATATTAATCCTAAATATAGAGATACTTTTCTGGAAAGGAAATAAAAACGTAATTATAGTACATAATTTGGACCTTGTCTTAATGAGCAAAAAAAACAAAATGCCCGGACTGTACTGCCACAGCCAAATAAACTTGGATGATTATCCCAGCCATCCAGTCTAGGCATGAATTCTCTCCCCTGAATAAACACTTTTGTGAGACTAGGGGATTCATTTCTCCTTAGCAACAATCTATCAGCTGGCGAGCTGCCCGATTAAAGGTCAGCATTTAAATACTATCATCATTTTCCATGTGTGTTTTTGTATCCCATGTCATTTTTGGCAAAATATTGTGGTTAATAAAAATGTAAATATGGCTTTCAAAGTAAAACAAAGGCATGTTGCTACAGAGGACTGCAGCATTCCCTCCACTGTGGTCAGCTATACTAGTGAGTGTTACTGCGTCATTTCTACTGTGGCATAAAATAAGACTGTGCCAACCAGAGCACTAATGCTTTAATTCAGATTTGTCTCAGATGCAATACATACAGTATGGTTTCAATTCTAGAAAAAGATTCATTCTCATATTGGTGCGTCCTTCATAACTCTTCCTTAGAACAGTCTTTCTTTTTGCAAATGCAACACAGAATAATATACTGAACAGCATGGAATCTGACAATATACAGTAATGTTTTGCTATTTACCCCTCCTTGCCGTTGGATATTCATTTGACCTTCAACTTTAATGGAATGGCCAGACGTCCATTATGAGCCCTTACCTGTGGAGTTTGCCTCACTGTGTCAAAGTCTGACCAGTGTTGTTGGAGCTGAGATGCATTTGGAACACACGCACAGAATGTCTGCATGAGGAGGTAAAAACAAATAAAAAGATGTACAACTTTTAGCTTCGAATGACATAGGGCGGAATATTAAAACTATCAAAAATAAGGAATGAGAGACACTGAATGTCTCAAACCTGACAAGAAAAGACATTGTACTTGACTGTAACAATTAAGGTATGAGAGAGGGGAATGAATTATAAAACTGAATGGCGGTAGACTAAAGCATAAGCAAGCAAATTAAGCAATAGGCAAGCACAGCACAAATCATAATAATCTGCAATAGACTGGAAGAATGCAGTGAGCAAAGAAATGTGCATAGTGAAAATTAAGATTACACTGCACATTGGCTTACAGCAAAAGAATTGAGCAGTGGATAAAGGCTGGAAAATGTTATATCTATTGTGTTATTTTCTTGATGCGAAAATATAATTGGGAGAAAGTATTGAGATAAGTCTGTGACATGTGTTGATTATTTTTCTGCTGTTTTTCTTAGATCCCCCTGTGTTTATGACAGAAGCCCCTTCGCTTCAGAGATGTCAGCTTCCAACATCTACACTAGCATGATGTGCTCTATGTTGAACTCTTCGGAAATATTTTGACACACATTTTTAAGGGTATTGCCACTCCTACCGGATTATCACTGAGCGAATAATTATTTTGTAATCACTAGAGTACAGGTAATTATTACTGTTTGGTACAGTAAATACATCTATGTTGAAACGGAATGTTGTTTTCTTGTTTAAGTCTTGTACTTCCTTAAACTTCCTTACTGCCTACAAGTAGAAGCACCTTTTGTCCTGGTATGACAATCCTTCTTTCGTGTTCATAACCAGTGCCCCGGCTTGGTGCTTACAGACATTGCATTTGAACACTGTCCTCACAGACAGAAAGGCATGAAGGGGGAGAAACATATGGTATTGAATAGTGAATGGGGGAATATTGAAAGAAGTAAGAGGTGAGCTTTAACTATTTGTGATAAAAAACATTCATGCTTAATTTCAAGTCTGTGCTGATATGCAAACTCACTTCCTTCAGGGCTTACAAACCACTGTAGGGGAGCAATAAAGTTGACAAGTAGGCAGCTGTCAACCCTTTTGTTTTTATGAACACTTACTATTAGCTAGTTAAGAATGAGACAAAACAATACTGAATGTATTCTGGCAATCTGTTTCATTGGCCTTTGAAAGAGGGCTGTGGGGGACCTTGATGTGCCACAAGGAACTTACATGCCTTTCACTGGGTTATTTATTCTAGGGGGATTAATGTGCTTGTTTGTTTCCATGTAGCCTTGCTTCCCCTGCCACAAGAACATGTCATGAGCATGTTTCAGAGAGGAGTGGGGGAAAAAAAACATAGGTAAGTAAAAAGAAAATAAATCTTTTTAATATACAATTGAAACACAAAAGAGGAAGAGAGCAATCCTACAGGGGAACCTCAATGAAGATTTCTTTTTTTAAATCGCAATCTTTTATTCATATTTTCTCCCATCCCTGGAAGCCTGATTGTCAGCAGAGCCCAAAATGACTGCGATGCTGTGAGATATTTCTTGATGAAGTACAGCTGCTGATCTCTCTGATGGCCTATATTTATTGACAGAAGGGTAGGCGAATCCCTCACTTCCTAGAGGCAGCAGCACAGTGACAGGCCGATTCAGTCTGCGTTATTAGTGAGGTGTAAAAAAAACTGCCACAGCTTCACGGCACTGTGAATTACTGCCTGTTCTAAACCAGTGAGAAATCTGTGTGTAGTGATGGTGGGGGGTATTTTTAATCAAATTATTCTCATGCATTAAATAAGCAGCTTCAAACCACCTGGATACTTTTTATCCCTAACAATCCCCAAACAAAATACAAGGAAAAAAACTCATAAATAAGATACTGTACTTCTAAGAGGAGTTAAAAAACCTGTTGCCATCTGATGCGTTTTAGTAGTTTTTTTTATACTGTGTGCATTGCTTTAAAATTTCCTAGTACCTTATTTTAGAGGTGCTTAAATACCCTGACACATACAGTATGCTGTCTCCAGAGGGATATACTGTAAAAGTTTACAGCACAACAGGAAGAATCTTTAACTGAGAGCATACATTTTTCCTCAACTGACTAGAAAAGAAATTCACATTGAATGAAAAGCACATACAGAAACAACATTTATATTCATATCTTTTAATTTCTGCAAAGGAACAAGTAATAGGTTTATTCCATGCTGAAAAAAAGAAGAAAGAGAACACAACGTTTCGGCCGTGGAGCCTTCTTCAGGTTTTAATTTCTGTGCTGTCTATCTGCCATCCTCCCAAGCTTTAGAAATGTACAGTACTGTATGTGAAACCTGTGCAATACAATTATTGGATAATGTTAAAAGAAAGAATGATTAAGAGATTTGGCATTTTCTTTAGTGTAGTCTATAAAGCATACTAAGCATAGATACACATTTAGTGACTAATTCCTTTAATTTGTTTTGCACTGAAATCCATAATCTGTGCTGCTAAATCCCCAATGTAAGCTATGTAAGCAATGTAGCTATTGTTACTGCTGGTAACATATTTGATTGATTGCTTTCAGCACTGTAGGTCACAACAACATAAGGAAAGCAGGAACAAGCAGTAAGCCACATGGCATGATATTTTTATTTTTATAAAACTGAGTTTTAGGTCCTTTTGTTATTAATGTCCAAAACAAAAGAAGACTAAAACATTAGTCAATATAGTCTGATTTATTAATTTTCAATTTTCAAAATGTCAGACTGAATTTTCCTCTTTGTAAACCCATGGACAGTGGGTATGCTAGCTGAAAAGTTAACCTTCACCAGAATTTACCTAAAATACCACTGTGTTGTTCTTGAAAAGAGTAAAAAAAGAGAGATGCCTCTCATTGCAGTCGATGGCAAACTGTCACAGTTCTCTCTAGAAAGCCACAAGGCAGAGGTAAGCCTGCTCTTGGTTCAGCTTCTTGTGCTGAACGTGCTCCCGAGGCCCCAGAGGGAGCTGTCAGAGCCGTGTTTGAGTTATTGTGGCTCTGCTCAACAGCCTCAGGAGCCTGCTTCCATCCTCTGCAACAAATTGCCATCTCCACGGACCACAGAGTGTCCTTGGTGGTCCAAAGAGCAGGGCTTTTGCCTGTGGGGCCAGTTTCACATCATTTACCGATTGTTGCAGAGGCAAGGCTAAGTGTTTTTAATTAACTGCACAACAGACAAAGCAAAAGCAAAAAGAATATATATTGAGAAACTACTCTCAACTACCATCTCCAAATACATCCATATACTGAACAGTGTATATAAGCATTCATCTGTTAAACGTCTGAAGGACTGAAAAAAACCTCTGCCTTACATAACTTTTTAGAAAGATAACTCAAATAGCTAAAATCTAGAAGATAAAGGAAGACTAAACATTGTCAAAAGGACAATGAGAAGAGAAAAGGGCATTGTTAAATGTTGTCCATCCAGGGTATTATGATGTCTTCACTGTCTCAGTAAAACGTGTAAGTTGGAATCCATCCTGTACTTGGTGTGCGCTGACACTGGACAGAAAATAGATCTAATAAATTTTACACACCTATTACCAGTTTTGTATAGCGTTGTGATTTAACACCAGGAAGAATGCCAAAGGAATAATAAATCTGGATTTTTATATTGGTGTTTTTCTCCATTTGAGAATCATTTCACATTACCTTTTATTTGACTTCATCAAGCATTCACAATGCAATTAAAATGTAATAAATATGTAAAACATAACTGAGAATCACAAAGCAATAATGAAGAAAAACAACAGTTTGCAATACTCAAGAAAATGCATTTTAGATACAGTATGTTTGTGCAAATCACATTTTATTAATGGATTAGTTGATTAATGCTATTGTAAAGAGAGGCATGCTCATGATAAACACTGAAGACATTAATGATTAAAAAGTCATAACAACATGCTTGTTGCACTGCAAACTATGGTAAATGTCTGAAAAATAAAAGAAATGCAAAAATCAAGCGGGATTGATGACACAAATATACCTTCACACCCATAGATGACAGCATACCCTGTGAAACTGCGAGGCCTCTGAGCTATAAAATCCCATATTCTCCTGCAAGTGTACAGGCATTTCAGCATATCACGCAATACTTTGTCAGCTTTTTAGGCTGTATTGGGTTTAAAACTTACAGTTTTACAATAATAGGTTAAAATGACAATTGCAGCCTAAAAAACTACAAATGGAAAATGGAAAACACATAGTTAGGAGCATCTTATGAGAAAGACGTACAGTAGGTGTTTATACTGACATTGATGTTTTTCATATCATGCTGAGAAACAACAAATATGACAGCCAGAATGTGATCATATCCAGTCTAACTAAAAATGTAGCATTTAAATCAAGGAATGTTATGTTAAAATTCGACAGCACAATAGTAAGACCTCAATTAGGATGATAGGCCTAATGATTTCTCATTTGCATAATGTCTTATGTTCTTAAGTTAATCACTGATTTGTAAAATTTAATCCTAATTTAAAATGTATAAATAAAATGAACGATGATCACATTAACAAACATATTAGTTTTCATATTAGCCTTTTAAGAAGATGCAAGATTTACATTGTCCTACCTTGTAAGTTACCCGTGTTTCGCTGCAGCTTCTGATAGACATTTTCTTGAGTGGTTTTATAATAGTCCTTTGCAATGGACATAACATTTTACTGATCTGTGTGTATTGAATTGCCAGGTAATTGCTTCAGGCAAATGGCAGTATGTTGACTGTTTCATGTAAATTTCTGAGATTCTCTGGTGATATACAGTATTTGGAGAATGCGTTCTGAATGTTTTGATGGATGTACGGTTGTTAGACGTAGTATCTCAGCTACCAATTATCTGTCTCCAGGACCAATCCTACACCGCTAACACTGAGGAATTAGGCTACATGCAGCAGTTGAAGGCCAATGCCAGCAGTCATGTAAGGGTGGTAGAAAATGGTGTATGGTGAACCAACACCTCTTTGACTTGATCATGTTCGCTTCTTGTTTGTTCTGCACGTATTGA